ATCCCTGGCTGCCCCTCCAGTGGATACAAATCACGATGTTCTCTTTCCCATGTGACCGCCCCTGTTTGTCTGAGCAGGGAGAGCTGAAGCTGAAGACCGCTCTGATTGGATTAATGAAGGACTGCGCTAAGGTAAACACACTCACCCAAACACTAACAGGAAGTGCTGGGATTTTTCTTTACAAAATAAAGGCACGTGTTAAATGGGCCGATTACTACAGCAACACCTATTACAAACAACAATTCAATTCAGTTTTCCATTCAGATTTATTTATATAGCGCAAAATCACAACAACAGTCACCTCAAGGTGCTTTATATTATAACACACCTGTGAACTGGCAGAATTTGGTTAGTATGTTATGTTATCATTGTTAATTATTCATTTTGCTTGAGCTAAGCATAAAATTGACACTAACATAGTTCTTTTTTTTTTTTAAAAGTTGCTGATTAACTAATATTTTCAGATGACAAAGAATTTTTAACATGTAACATAAAGCAATTTAACAGGCACACAAAATTCTGTCTTTCAGTAGGAAAATTTCTCATCAAGTCTTTCACCCAAAATCAAACTGCTCAACCTGAGCTGTGCCACTGATGTACTGTACTCATTTCTAACCCTATCCATCCTGGTTGCTCCTAATGGAAATCTTATCATTTTTATCTGTTCGTCCCACCATACATCATAGCAGGTTTGACCGTCATCTCGTAAACCTTCCTTTTCACTCTTGCTGCCATCCTTCTGTCACAAATCCTCCCTGATACTTGTCTCCACCTGCCTACACTTTCTTCTTCACGTCTCGTGTGGACTGTGCACTGCTTTGGCTGGTTGATACTCATGTTCACTGCCTCTGCTCCTTGCAGCTTCACTGCTACACACCTGTATTCTGTCTTGCATTCATCTACCTCCATTTCTCCTGGCTCTCTTCCACCTGCTCCCTACTCCCACTATGAATAACAATGTCATCTGCGAACATCATAGTCAACAGAAATGTCTGCCTGGCCTCCTCTGTCAGTCTGTCGTTATCATTATAAACAAAAAGGGGGTCAGAACAGATCCCTAATACACCCCCAACTACAACAGTAGTGTGTTTATTTGATATAATTCAGATGGATTTTAATTCCAAATTTTTGCTTTATGTTTACTAAGGGTGAAAGTGAAGTTTTCTTTTTTTAGCTTTTATTTTGACATCCCTTGCCCGGAAGTACACCCTGTTCGTGCACGTTCGCTTCACCAAAACATCATTGAGCAGCAAACAAACGGCTGCGAAGCTACGATGTTTTCTGTTTTCACCAACCGGAGAGACAAAAAGGACGGAAGAAAACGGTGCGGGTGTGCCTCAGCGTGACCGACATCTTAGCAGCGAGTAGCCAAAAGGAGACCTGTGCGAGTGTTTTCTTCCCGGGGCTGCCGCCGGAGAGCTGTGCCCCGACAAGGCTGGGCGGGGTGATGTTTAGGTTCCGGTATAAAGGCAGCGACAAAATGGGAACCAGACGAGATGTGAAGCCGGCAGCCCGCGCTGTGCTCTTATCTCGGAGACTAGAATGAGAAGTTGGTCGCCCGGGTGTGAAAGGGCGGCGGTATAACCGTCTGGGGAGGCCACTGGCGGGGGAGAAGCGTGTCGCTGCCGCGTCCCTCCGCCCCTCATCCGCCAGTACCATGAGGACGATCTTTACATTCTGCTGTCTTTTCCTTATTACCGGCGGATCGGACCGGGCGTGGGCCACCGGAAACCTCACTGTCGATGGCAGCAACAGGACCAACGTGACGGCCGACAGCAGCAGCAGGTATATCACAATCGGGGACGGGTCATTGCAGGAGTTCGAGTTCCCCGAATACACCAACGGCGTGATTGTAATCTCCAGCCGATACCGGAGCGCCGCGGCCGCCAGGACGGGCCGCCAGAGCTTAAAGCAGACTGTGAGAGTTCACTCCTTGGAACCAGAGGTGCTCTCGATAATCAACGTGACGGACGGCGGCCACGGAGGACAGGCTCAGAGCTACATTATCAACATCCGCTCTGGGCTGCCGGGCAGGGCTCAGCTGCAGATCCAGCTGCTGGACCTGGACCAGGGCTCGGTGCCGGTTCTGATTGAGGAGAGGACAGATTACTGCATCAAAGTGGAGCCCAGTGATGATGACCCGGCCACCCGGCTCATCCAGTCGGGTGGTCTGTCCCATTTCTCTGAGAACCCCGTGCTTTTTGCCTTGCTGCCCCTCATCTTTGTCAACAAGTGTGCCTTTGGGTGCAAGGTGGAGGTGGAGGTGCTGCGGGGCCTGCTGAAGAGCCCCATGCCGTTGCTCCTAGGTGCGCTGGGTCAGTTCCTGGTGATGCCTTTATATGCCTACTGTGTGTCCCAGTTGGCCTCACTGCCCAAGGCACTCGCTCTGGGGTTGGTCATCACCTGTTCTGCCCCAGGTGGAGGGGGAGGATACCTGTACAGCCTGCTGCTCGGAGGCGACGTCACCCTAGCCATCTCCATGACGC